AGACCTTAATTATGCTGTCAAAATCTCTCGTAACGGACACCTAATTTGGTCCCTGGAACGTACTGTCCACCATAGACACCATGACGATAGATACTGACTTATGATGGGACGGTTGCAGAGGTGTTCAGTCACAGTAGTGTTAATATGTAGAAGTAGGCAGTGGCTCGGGACATTTTGGGTAGTCTTATACCAAGTACTACCCTTTAGTAGCGTTATGGCGATATCCGTGACGCTATTAAACCTCTATTGTCTTTCATTTGGAAGCATTCCATGTGGAATAACTAAAGAAAACGCTTGTTTTGATATTTCTGGCTAATAATTCCTGAAGTCTCTAGCAGTGATGCGTCCTGCTTGGGTCTGTATTTAAAAGCACACTCGAAAGAAAATTTGCACCAAGCCAATATTATGGTTGGTGCTCCAAATCTTTTGATACCAAAAAGAGCTTTTAAGAAAAGTAACGTTGCATGATGTCCGTCAAACTTACTCACTTCTGTAAAGAAGTGGATATATACGATAACCGTGAAAATGAAAAACTTGTTCTCCTCTCCTTTATGTATATTAAATACCCTCCTCCATTTCCCTTTTCCATCTTTAGATCCTTTTTCATGAGTTAATGCTTTAATAAAATATATGGGTTATATTATGTCACGAGTGTAATAATTATTTTAATCACATTTATTTTACGTATACTAAATATATTTTTATTCGACTTATTCTATTCGAAATATTATTTAAATTATTAATTGTGATTTATTCGAAAGTTTTGCTTTTTCCTGGCCATAATTTTGAATTTAGTTAGAGTGCAAGTAAAAATCATGGTAATTCTTGGTTTTAAAGTTTTCTTTCGTAGTAAAGTAAGGTCACGTAAGTAACGATCAGGTAAAATTACAAATGAAATTCTAGAATGATCGCGTGACCAAGTGTGTAATTTATGGATCAAGGTCAAAGGTGTACAGGCTAAAATATTTACATAATAAATTATGTTCATTCAGTTCCGTTTCGCTCGATCGATGGACTGAATAAAATAGCTACTGCTCTAAAGGCAGGCTAGAAGCAATGGAAAGTTAGTTACGAGAAGAAATCTATGAAATCAACCCCTTTAATTCTGGGGTAAGTGTATTACCCTTTCCAATTTGGATCAGTTTGTATATTGGTGATTTGTTAATTTATGTTGTTTTCCTTGCAGTGGTACGTCTATCTCGGTGTTGCTCAAACCTAAACAGCGATCAAGTCTTGTAGTGATCTCCGCGAGGTGGTTGAATTTTAAATCTTTGAATCCACCCGTTGAAGATGCTCTTAGTCAGTGAAGTTTTGCTGCTTTTTCAAGCTTTGAATTTATTGTTGGTAACTTCGGACCATCCAGGTAGGAAAGAAAATTCTTCCTGAGTTCGCCGGCACAAATATAGTTTTTAAGATTGTATAAATTATAAAATTGTTAAGAAACCAGGACATTATAAGATATTCTATCATCTAGTTCACTACTTTGTCAAGTATAGTTAAATGAGCACGCAAGAGAAGAATTCTTAAAGTGTAAGTGTCAGAACGAAGATTCTCGGTTCTGAAAAGTTGTTAAGCAGTCGCCATATTTTCTCACGTGAGGCTGATAGCGAGAGCACTGGACGCAAGTGGTGATGGGGGGAGGAGGGGGGAGTGGGGGGAGTGATTGATGGGAGGTAGAAAATGGCCTAAAAATGAAGAAGCCAGAGCTTTTAAATTTTCTTCAGAGGAATCAAAATCAGCGTTGTCGGATCGTAGACGCTCGTTCACTTATTTTGTATATACTTAGCCATCTGGCGCCAGTTGTTGGAAAGGTGAATAGTGTTATCCGTTGGATAAATCACTATCCACTGGATAGCGCAATTAGTTTCCCTAATACTTCACCGTTGGGTAGCGATTTATCCGATGGATAGCGCTATCCACCGGATAAATCACTATCTAGTGGATAAGTACTATACTGTAAAATCCCACGTCACAGTTAAAGCCCTGGGCTTATATAACTTCATAAGGCTTTTGGGTGGGCTGATAAACGGTGGCAGGGGGGGGGGGGGGCTAAAAAGGGGGGGCGGCTAAAACGGGGGATTTTTTGGTATGGGGGAAACTAATTGAAAAATAACTTTTCAAGGGAGGGAGATTTATCCATGGGATAGGGCTTCCACCCCTCTAAAAAACGGGGGCCGGCTTTCCTCTCCCC